CATTTAACCTGCAGTTACAGATGGATAAATAATGTTTTGTTTTTAACATAAAACGTTGAATACTGATATTTGAAATGATTTAAAAACATGAAAAAATTGTCGAAATGTGAAATTAAAACCGCCAGTAGGTGACAGCAAGTGACTGTTAATGAGTGAGTCATTGAGATTGAACCGATTCATTCAAACGGCTGATTCATTTAGGAACAAAGCATTTGACTGTGTTAATGAGTGATTCACTGAATCATTTATAATAATTTAATTTTAATGATTTATGCATTTAGCAGACACTTTTTTCCAAAGCGACATAGGCTATACATTTTTTACCACTATGTGTGTTCCCTGGGAACTGAACCCACGACCTTTTGCGCGGCTAACGCAATGCTCTACCGCTGAGCCACAGGAACACATTTGTTCAACTGATTAGTTCAAAAAGCTGATTCATTTTCAAAAGCTCAACTATTTCCGTTGGCAAAATTGAGCAAAAACAAGCAATATTATGTCTAAAATGTAAGTCACTTGCTAACTTTACTGAACTTGTATGAAATGATTATTAAATTAGTTATGCTGATATCTGCAGAAAAACGGTACTCTTTGTGTGATATAGATTAAGTTAACTATATTAAATTATATAAATATAAAAAGCATACAGAAGCATTTTTGCCGTCTACAATTTAGAATGCCTGGAATTTTGAATTTTAATAGACTAATAAATCAGCGTGCGTGCGCTCTGTGTGTGATTTGGTGATATAGGCTAGCCTACTTGATAATGTCAGATTCGCACATCATTACAACAACACTTACCAATAAATCAGTGTGTGCACTTTCTGTGTGTGATTTGGTGATATACTTGATAATGTCAGATCACACATCATTAAAACAACACTTACCATATTATCGCAGATATACTGTATATCGCACACCCCAGCCTCGACTTGAGTGGAAAATGAAATCATCCGTGGTTGTGCGCACGCTTGTTTGCACATGAGCAAAGATGTTTATTAGGAGTCTAACTTGCAGACGCCAGACCACTGATTCATCAAACCTGCTTTCTTGCAGTCTGTTTTCTTCTGACTTTCAGTGCATTCCAAACGGGATATATCGCCCTCCGAAGGGCACTTCGAAGTGAAAACCATCAAGGCCGTCATATTGAAGGGTCGTTCCAAACCGAAGTGCTCAAAACAGGCCACTTCAAAGGGCCCTTCGGAATGAAGGATTTCGAAGGGTACAACTGATGGACACTTCGGGCTCCCATGATCCTTTGCACAGATTCTTTGCATGATGACAGCGCCTCCGTGTGGGCATGTGATGATGACGCAGAAGGGCACTTCAAGAAACAGTTGTTCGGTCCCCTACACCCTTCAACCCTTCGAAGCTCTCACTCCGGAGGGTAAACCCTTTGAAGGGATTAGGGCATAGGGATGAGCCCTTCCGAATGGAACGCAGGGTCTATTTTGTAAGAAGTAACGAATATGCTTCGGGGAAATGTATCGGAGTAAAAGTATACATTTTAATTAGGAAATGTAGTGGAGTAAAAGTAAAAGTTGCCTGAAATATAAAAACTCAAGTAACATACAGATACTCCCAAAAAATACTTAAGTACTGTAACAAAGTATTATTACTTCGTTACAATACACCACTGGCTCTACATGACAGCTAATGGACAGTGACAACAACAGCAGCAGCAGCATAAATTAACCCAGTAAAATGTAAAACAATGATAATATTTTAATAATAATTAACATGTTTTCAAGCTCCAATGCATGCTGGGAACTTGTGCCATATTGTTCAATGTAAAATTGTTTGTTCAGATGACTCAATTTGAAAAGTTGGGAGAACATTTGGATATGTTGTGAACAAATACTTGAATATCTAAGTATGGTAAACAAAACAACTTTTGCTGGCAACATGTTTAAAGTATTTTTGCTCGGTTCACGCGAAAAATTAAACCGACTTCTCCTAGTAAAAATTCCTTGTACAGGCTACTTTTTTTTTACATTTGTTAGTAGAATTTTTGAAAGTTGGATTTTTTACAGTGTTCTCAAAACATTTGTTTACGGCTGGGTTACATAGCTGGTTACTGTGTTTGGCTTTCAAATTACTGGAAATGTGAGTTTGCAGATCTCCTGGAATGAGCCCCTGCTCTGGCCAGACGCTAACTCTATTTTGGTGGAAAAGTGTTAAGTGATGCAAATATAGAGTGTTCAAGCTCACCTTAGTGTGTGATTAGATTTCAGCATGTTTCTCCAGTTGACATGTAGGCTAATTAACCCTCCTTGGGATGCTCTTTTTCTTTTATACAGAATTCCACATGTATTTGCATAGACCTGGAATGCTCGGAGCAGGCGGAGACGTGTGGCACTTTGCCCTGTCTCAACGGTGGCATCTGTATAGTTCAGAATGGCCTGTATCATTGCAGGTAAGAATACATAAAGACGTATTAGGACAGATCAACAGGATTGGCATTTCTGATCAAGGCATTTTGACAGAATCGCTGAATCCAGTCATAAAAACGGAATTTACAGTGTAACGCGGAATGTGCCAAATTTCGGATAGATAAATCAAAAGTAGTTCAGTACACTTAAATCAAGACTCGATATGGTCTAGTGTCTGTGAATATTAAGCTGCAAAAATACATTTTAAATATGAATCCTGCTTGTCTCTTTGTGAATGAAGTACATATGAGTACATTAACATAATCTCTACAACTGCTCTAAGAGTCACTTCATGAGCATTTTACAGTTTCTTTCGAGAAAAAGAAAGAAAGAAAGAAAGAAAGAAAATAATAATAAATTATTTTTAATAAAATCAATTAACTAGAGATGCTTTTGATTATTACAATTTAATGAAACTATTAAAAATGGAATCCAGAAAATTAATGAAAAACACAGAATTTGGTAAAAAAAATGAAACTGAATTTGAGAAAAAATAAAATAAATTTCATTGGGCCTTAAAAATTTTATTTTTTTATTTTTTTTAATAAAATACCATTAAATTGTGTGAATTTATTATTTTAATTAATTAGACATGCTTTTTGATTAATACAGTTCAATATAACCATAAGTTGGGAGAACATTTGGATATGTTGTGAACAAATACTTGAATATCTAAGTATGGTAAACAAAACAACTTTTGCTGGCAACATGTTTAAAGTATTTTTGCTCGGTTCACGCGAAAAATTAAACCGACTTCTCCTAGTAAAAATTCCTTGTACAGGCTACTTTTTTTTTACATTTGTTAGTAGAATTTTTGAAAGTTGGATTTTTTACAGTGTTCTCAAAACATTTGTTTACGGCTGGGTTACATAGCTGGTTACTGTGTTTGGCTTTCAAATTACTGGAAATGTGAGTTTGCAGATCTCCTGGAATGAGCCCCTGCTCTGGCCAGACGCTAACTCTATTTTGGTGGAAAAGTGTTAAGTGATGCAAATATAGAGTGTTCAAGCTCACCTTAGTGTGTGATTAGATTTCAGCATGTTTCTCCAGTTGACATGTAGGCTAATTAACCCTCCTTGGGATGCTCTTTTTCTTTTATACAGAATTCCACATGTATTTGCATAGACCTGGAATGCTCGGAGCAGGCGGAGACGTGTGGCACTTTGCCCTGTCTCAACGGTGGCATCTGTATAGTTCAGAATGGCCTGTATCATTGCAGGTAAGAATACATAAAGACGTATTAGGACAGATCAACAGGATTGGCATTTCTGATCAAGGCATTTTGACAGAATCGCTGAATCCAGTCATAAAAACGGAATTTACAGTGTAACGCGGAATGTGCCAAATTTCGGATAGATAAATCAAAAGTAGTTCAGTACACTTAAATCAAGACTCGATATGGTCTAGTGTCTGTGAATATTAAGCTGCAAAAATACATTTTAAATATGAATCCTGCTTGTCTCTTTGTGAATGAAGTACATATGAGTACATTAACATAATCTCTACAACTGCTCTAAGAGTCACTTCATGAGCATTTTACAGTTTCTTTCGAGAAAAAGAAAGAAAGAAAGAAAGAAAGAAAATAATAATAAATTATTTTTAATAAAATCAATTAACTAGAGATGCTTTTGATTATTACAATTTAATGAAACTATTAAAAATGGAATCCAGAAAATTAATGAAAAACACAGAATTTGGTAAAAAAAATGAAACTGAATTTGAGAAAAAATAAAATAAATTTCATTGGGCCTTAAAAATTTTATTTTTTTATTTTTTTTAATAAAATACCATTAAATTGTGTGAATTTATTATTTTAATTAATTAGACATGCTTTTTGATTAATACAGTTCAATATAACCATTAAAGTACAGTGTAGAAAATTTAAAATGGAAAAAAAACACAATCCAGAAAATCCAAAATTAAGAAAAATATAAAATGGAATTTGGGATATAAATGGAAATAGGGCCCTACTTTAGTGCATGTTATTGCAGTGTCAGAGTTGTGGTGGTCTGTTTTAATGTCCATGTTGTGCTCTTATTTTCAAGTTTGATATATTGCTCTTATCCGTGTTTATGGTTTGTTGCCTTCATTGATCCGAGGTGTATTTTTTTTAATTAGTCTTGTTAACCTATTTGGTGTGTGTTCGACTTTATGCGATTCTGCACAGACCAATCTACATCCGATTTGATCAAGTGCATGTCTATGAAAAATTTTGTCTGACTTGAGACAGTGCCACTTCCACGATACTGTGACGTAAACCATTGAAGTACAGAGAGAGCAATTGGGGTGCAGCCGGCTTGCTCAGTCAGTGCAGCTTCTCCAGAGCGGCTGTACAAGCTCTGATGATGACGCAGCTATTTCACGATTGGCCAGACTCAGTGATGACAACGATAAAGTGTGTTTCATGTTTATTCTGACTCCTTCAGTTACCCAAATGCTCCCAAAACAGGGTTTTTATAACAGTAGAATGTTTTTTTCATGCACTCTTAATGCTGTATTGTGTCATGCTTATCAAAATAAAACTGATTAACAATATAGAACACACTTTAATGGTATTTAAATACCAATTTGCTGAACTTAATTCTTTTATATACAGGCACTGTTTCTACTTGCTGCAAAAGACTAAAATACCTGGTCTTGTCTTCTGTAGACTTGTTTGGTTGGTTGGTTAGTCCCTGTTCATGGTTTCTTGTTTATATTTTAGTGATTCAAAATCATTTCCACATCGGGCGAAGAACCATATTTGGTAACTTAATCGACCATTCACAATAGCGTTTACATGCCTCTCCGTGAGCTCGTTTAAGCACATGGATTTCTCCCAGCCAATCAACAGATATCAGTCTACGTCACAGATAGTGACACCATGGCATCTGACCAATCAGGAGTTGCCCGGGGCATTTCAAACTTCAGCGTCCTTCCGGATCTTGTAAAGTAGCTCCTACCTACTCCCACAAATACGGAAATTGCATCAAAACAAACAATGGTAAATTAATGAAACTCACACATTATATGGTTGAATAGTTGTGTTAAATGTTGAGATAGCTGTTGTTTGCGTAGGATTTCTAGAAATTAGTGAACGTTGGACATGAAAGATGGTGTGATCATATTTGATCATACGCCCCGTTCAGGGAAAACTAGCGCAAGCGACAGAGTGACCATTTTTAGGCATATGCCCGATGTGTCTAGTGAGCCATGCTTAGGTCATTTTTTACAAATAATGCATTATAACGTAGGACAATAGTATTTAATAGTGCATTGAATGTTTTCACAGGTTGATATAACATTATACAGTGATCCAGTGAAAAACTTAAGTAATTTATTGAAATGATCAAGCCATAAATAGTGAAATATGTGTAATTTTGGTCAGTTTTATGACCTTATAATAGTTTTATTGTACTTAAATGGCATATATTGGTGTTTATTTTACTGTGAGACTTATTACTGCTAAAATAAGTGGTATCACCAGTACTTATAGTGCTATTTTTCACTTAATGCATTATAATGTAGGACAGTAGTACTCAATAGTGCATTGAATGTTGCCACAGGTTAGTGATCCAGTGGGAAACTTGAGCCATTTATTGAAATTAGCAAGTCATAAATAGTGAAATATGTTTAACTTATAAGTTTTTTGTTATTATTATAATTTTTACTACTAACCCAGTTTATATTATTATAGCATATATTGGTGTTTATTTTACTGTGAGCATTATTACTGCTAAAATAAGTGGTACCACCAGTACTTAGTGCTATTTTTCACTTCTTATTATATATTTACATTTTATATGTCAATATTCTTTGTTTTCAGATCTGCACTTTACCGTTACTGTTTTTTTATTCACAAATAATTCAAAGTGGGCTTGATATTGACTCAAAAACTTACTCACTTTTCTTTTGCAGCTGTCTACACCAACAGCTAGACCTGCAAGTACTGCAGCAGGAAGCGGAAAATACTAAGGTCAAACATGGTCTACAGGGTCTGGAAGGTCCTCCGTGCCTCAATGATGAACGCAACTGCTTTATTGAGTACCATGAAGCAGTTGCCTAAGTGACTGGACTCGAATTGTGACACGTGAAAAATAAAAAAATGTTCCTAAATAAAAGAAAAAATTTCCTAAATAAATATACTATTAAGTTTATAAATGTTTTAATAAATACTTTTTATTATTTTATGTATGTCTTATATTTTTGTATATATCCACTTTTTGGAAAAACAAATTACCCTAGTTCGTCAAAGAAGTAGTTGCCTAAGTGACTTTGACACGTGAAAAAGAAGAAATGTTCCTAAATAAAAGAAAATTTTTTCCTAAATAAATATTCTATTAAGTTTATATATGTTTTATGTGTTTATTTATGTTTTATAACTGTGTCTTATATTTTAAATATATACACTTTTGGGGGGGGGGGAAATGACCATAGACTGGCGAGGAACCATATATGGTAACTTCATTGACCTTGATTTGCAACATAAAAATGAAATTTTATTTTTTAAAGTCACAAAAGTTCAAAAGCTTTGTAATAGCCTCCAATAACACTGCAGGGTTGAAATTTTGAATTTCCAAGTATTCCAATGAGTGCCCTATAAAGGGTTAAGCTCCTTGCCCCATGTATTCTGGGATGCACTTTACAGAAATAAATAGTCAGTGAATAGGATTTCACATAGTTGTTTTACATTGTCTTGTGTGACCTCACATGCCTAGAGGCCGGTAATCTAGAAAAATAGCCAGTCAGAAATATTCTCCTTCTGAATCATTTTGTGCCTTTGGGTTTGATGACATGTCTTTGACGACCAATCATGTATAGTATCTTTTCATAGTTTGTTAATTAAAGATATTCAATTTACTTTGATCAGTTGCTTTGTGATGAAACTCCCATTTTGTACAACTGAATAGCATGTATGCTGTGATTGTGTGTTTCTTCTTGGTATATGAGTTTACTGGCCAGAAATAGAAATACAGTCTGTAGACAGTGAAATGTTCATTAAATTTCCAGTGGTAAGGTTCAATATTCAGCCTGTGACAGCTTTTGAATTACTTCCTTCTGATAATGAGGCAATCCGCTACAGTTTCGACTGCTTTATGAGTTCTTCCAGTCCTTGGGGGGTTCATAGCTATGTCTTCTCTTGCTCCTGCTCATCTTTCTAGTTTTTATTAGAAAAGATCACTTGAATCAATACATTTGATGGCCCCTCTGACAAACGGAAGATAAGATAGGGATTGAAAGGGCAAAAAATTAATTAAAAATTGAGAAAATGCTTGACTAGAGGATGATAGTGTGTGTGCATGTAAAGAGAAGGAGAGATAAAAGCAATAGCATTTGGTCACCTGGGAGTCTGTTAATAATTGAGTGATCTTGCCTATGTGTGACAGAATAAGATCTCTGAAGTCTTATCACAGCAGAAGGAAGGCTAAGATCTGACTAAGGCCAAAGAAACAAGAGGATATTCTCTATTTATGAAGCATGTGTGCCAGAGGTTGAACATTTAACAGGCATTCTTGTCATGTGTTTGCTTAAAGGATCTTTTAATACTCCACAAATGTCACCAAGGAGCATAATGGTCATTATGAGAGACCTGTAACATCTAAAAACAGCAGGAAAGTGCCTGCGTTTCATCCCATCATCACTGATTGTTACTCTGGGTCATTTTTACTCTTAGAAGTCTATTTTTATATGTGGCTACGGTTAATGTCATCTTCTTGTAGATGCCGACAAGGTTTTTCCGGAAAGAACCGTGAAGAAATAATTGACTTCTGCAAGCTGCTCAATATTAACTGCCTGAATGAGGGATTGTGTCTCAGCCTAGTTGGAGGATATAATGTAAGTAACCTAATTTTTTGAATGGTTAATTTGTATGATAAAATACATTAAAAATGTATTTCAGATAGCGTACATTTCTTATATTACTCCATTATAGAGAAGGTAAATCAGAAGAAATGTATATGCTTTGGAAATGCAGGAAATGTTGGGGGAGAAATGTGCTCTCTCTCTCTCTCTCTCTCTCTCTATATATAAGAGATAAAAGCAATAGCATTTGGTCACCTGGGAGTCTGTTAATAATTGAGTGATCTTGCCTATGTGTGACAGAATAAGATCTCTGAAGTCTTATCACAGCAGAAGGAAGGCCAAGATCTGACTAAGGCCAAAGAAACAAGAGGATATTCTCTATTTATGAAGCATGTGTGCCAGAGGTTGAACATTTAACAGACATTGCTGTCATGCGTTTGCTTAAAGGATCTTTTAATATTCCACAAATGTCACCAAGAAGCGTGATGGTCATTATGAGACAACTGTGACATCTAAAAACAGCAGTAAAGTGCCTGCATTTTATCATGTCATCAGTGATTGTTACTCTGGGTAATTTTTACTCTTAGAAGTCTATTTTTATATGTGGCTACGGTTAATGTCATCTTCTTGTAGATGCCGACAAGGTTTTTCCGGAAAGAACCGTGAAGAAATAATTGACTTCTGCAAGCTGCTCAATATTAACTGCCTGAATGAGGGATTGTGTCTCAGCCTAGTTGGAGGATATAATGTAAGTAACCTAATTTTTTGAATGGTTAATTTGTATGATAAAATACATTAAAAATGTATTTCAGATAGCGTACATTTCTTATATTACTCCATTATAGAGAAGGTAAATCAGAAGAAATGTATATGCTTTGGAAATGCAGGAAATGTTGGGGGAGAAATGTGCTCTCTCTCTCTCTCTCTCTCTCTCTATATATATATATATATATATATATATAT